ACATAAACACACAGATCCTGGAGCTAACCTGCTTGGGTAGCTTCCTCTGTCTCTCCCTGGTTACCTCAGTTTCCCTATCGACTCGTAGGATGAAAAATACCGTGTGGAGATCTATTGGGTTAGGATGTGTGACATATACATGGAACAGGGTCTTCCGGAAAGGGCGGGTTGTGGGTTCCAGAAAAGTAATGTCACATCTCAGCCTCCCGCTGGCCAGGCTGTCGGTTTGGGTTTGTGCGCCATCAAGGAAAGGTGTAGCCGCTTGGAGACAAGGAGTTGGGAAGGACTTAACTTTTCAATGGTGCGGCCTGAGAGAGTCGGTGATGGGAGGGGGGTGTCTCCCGGGTCCGGGTGGAGGGCAGGGAGGGGTGGGGGGGGCGTCCGCAGGGTCCGAGCGGGCAGCCGGTGCGCGTGTGAAGGTTACCGCTTCCCGGCGGGGCGGGCGGGGGGCGCGCGCTGTTGCTGGGCTCCGCGGGGCCTGCCCGCGCCCGCACCCGCCTCCCTCCCCGGCCAGCCAGTGAGCGGTACCCGCCGCCGTTGCCAGGAGAAACTCGCCGCCCCGTTACCCAGCAACAAGCCTGGCCCAACCAGGCGCCAGGACCCTCAGGCCCCGCCCGCCGCTGCCCACCGCGTGCCCAATGCCAGGCGGGCAGAGCCGGCCCGGCTCCCGGAGACGGCGAGCGCGCTCATTGGTCGCAGCCGCGCCGCGAGGGGATCTGGGGAGCCCTGGGCGCGCGGGAGGGGAGGGAGGAGGAAGGCGGGAGGGGGGCGGAAGGGGGGGGTTCCGGGAGCAGCCTGGCTTGCAGCCGGCCTGACCCTGTCCAAGCCCCTGACCTGTGGTGATCTGTTGCCTCTCTCTCCCAACCACCCCCCCCACTCCACTCGGGGTACCATAGAGTTGGACACCAAGTGTTTCTCCCCACACACCCCCTTTCCCAGAAAGACACCTGTGCATCCTGACCTCATCAACAGCAGGGGACAGAAAATTCTGCCCCATCGGGATTTAGGGGTGCCTGGTTCTTGAAGACAGAGGCTAAAGGCCCTCCACCAGATGAGAACCCAGGTCCCCCGTCCCCTTGAAGGCTAAGATGTGAGGGACCGAGAGGGCCCCCACCCCATCCCAGAACGGAGGAGATGTATGTCTGATCGTGGGAAATAAGGCTGGGGGCATCAGGCCCCAAGACATATCCCAAGTCCTCACCATCCTGATATTGGGGAAACACAGCCCCCCCCAACCATGTCACCAGACCCCGACTATCTAGTTCATCCAAAGATCACCACCCCGCCCAAGGCACAGGCCTGCACCTTCCTCCTCTTTGGGCCCAGCAGCTGCCCCTGAGCAGGACTCGTGACCCCAGCTATTTTCTCTTCTCCTTGGCACCAACCTCTAACCTAGGCTAGAACCCCGAACTCTGGGTTCATAGAGCCACGAGGTCCCCAAGCCCCCCCAACACACATGGCAAATCCAGCCAGACTCTTAGGCTGATGGGGAGGGGCAGTGTGAGATCCCTACCCTGCCCCCCCCAAATGCCCAGGACCCCAGGCCTGGAAGCCCTACACTCTTAACACCACTAGTTGGCGACCATGAGGTCAAAGCTGGGAGCCCTCAGCCTCCAGGGATCCCAAGGTGCGCCTCTAGGCTACTTTCCAGAGGCCCAGGTAACCGAGTCTGCGCCCCAAGGAGCACCGGGGGCTGCAGACCCCGCTCTGGGCGCGGGGCGGTGGAGACCAGGTGCGGCTGCCCGGGCCCTGGTACCTGGGCTGGGGGCGGGGGGAGAGGGGGCGGGGCCGGAGGATTACTCAGCCTCCAGAATGAGGCGATGACATCATCCTGGGGTGACTAACGGCTGCGGTGGGGGGCGGGGAAGTTTACCCGGTAACAGCGCCGCTGCTCGGCCCCGCCCCCCGGAAGGACTGGCAGCGATTGCACACACATGTATACACAAACACACGTGTCTGCACAGACACACAGCACCCACCCCCAGCACCCCTTCCCGGGGCCAGGGCGGGGCTGGTGTGTGTGTATGTGTGTGTGTGTGTGTGTGGACAGTGGGCTTTGTGCATAGCAGGGTGCAATGGTGTCAATTGACTGTGCATTCGTGCAATAGGCATGCTGCACTTGTCACAATGTCCCCTGTGTGTCAAGTTGTTGTGTGTCCACGTGCGATTGTCTAAATGTGATGATGTGTGTCGGTGATTGTGTGACACAACATTATGGTGTTGATGTAACGGTGTGGGTGTGTGTCTATGGTTGTGTGACACTGGGATTGTGTTGGTGTGTCTGAGTGTGTGATATTGGGATTGTGTGTTGGTGTGACTGTGTGTCCGTGATTGTGTGATACTGGAATTGTGTTGGTGTGATGGTGTGGCTGATTGTGTGACACTGGGATTGTGTGTTGGTGTGACGGTGTGTCTGTGACACTGGGATTATGTGTGACTGTGACAGTAGGATTGTGTGTTGGTGACACTGGCATTGCGTTGGTGTGATGGTGTGGGAGTGCTGTGTGAAGTGTGGGTGTCCTGTGGTTCTCACCACGCACCTGCACTAGGATTGTTACACGTTGTGGATCACATGTGTGTGTCCGTCCGGTATCTCGGTGTGGACGGTGCAGTGTGTGTGTGTCTCCCCGGGTTGTGTGTCCGCGCGTGCGCAGGGCGGGCGGTGGGGTCGGAAGGCGGGGTGTCTCCAGGCCTCCTGCCCGAGAACAGCGCTGCTGCGCGCTGATTGGCCGCCGCCTCGCCAGTCAGCGGTTCCCAATCCTGCGGTGACGCGGTAACCTGGTAACGGGCGCCAAGGCCCCGCCCACCCCGCCCCTCGGGGCGCCCCAGAGGCCCCCCTTTTCCCCCCCCCCCCCCCCCGCCTGTCGGGCCTTCCCCTGAGTCCCAACCGGGAGTCGATCCCCCATCTCCAGACTCTCCCCTCCCTATGGCCCGGGACTCGATCCTCTGTCTCCAGTCTCCATCCCGCCCCCCGGCCCCCATGTCCCGTTTGTTTCTTCCAGCTTGCTCTGTCAGAACCATTCAGTCTCTCCATGCCTGCCTCCTGTGTGTGCCTCTGCCCCCGCCCCAAATCGGTCCCTGCCTCAGTTTCCCCATCTCCTCTCCTTCCTTTCTCCCCTTTCTCCCCCACCCTTTTCATTCTGCGGAGACAGCTAGAAGACTTTTCTCCACTTCATCCCACATGCCTAGACTTCGGGCAACAGCCCCCCTCCGCTCTCCCGCCACGCAAGGGTAGACTTAAGGAAGGGCTCTCCCCTCCACCCCCGGTAGACAGCACTGGGGCTTTATCGCTCGGGCCAGGCGGAGGCCCGGCGGCCCCGTGGCTTCCGGAGGCGCCCGGGCGGGCAGGATGAGCTCACTGCAAGTTGGCTAGGATTTCATCAGCTTCCTCCGCTGAAGTTGCCCCCGCTCCTCTCCGGGCTCTGGCAACGCGGACCGATCCGCCGGGCGCCTGCTGCCCCCGTGCGGCGAGAGGTGAAAACGCAGGTGTCTCGCCCAAAGCCCGCGATGGGCTCCAGGGTACCACCGGCCACCCGGGGTACGAGCGGCCACGTGGGTGCGCGGGCTACCCAGGGTGCCACCGTCCACCCGGGATACCACCGGACACCCAGGGTGCCACCGGGGTGTGCCGTCTGCACACTCAAGATGCACACGTGGACCTCTGGAAGTGAAGCGAATTTTGTTGCTGGTGATGGAACCCAGGGCCTTATGAATGCTAAACTGTGTGTGTGTGTGTTGGATCTGAGATTAGAACTCAGGGCCTGGGTGCTATCTCAGAGCTTTTGTGCTCAAGGCTGGCGCTGTACACTTGAGTCACAGCTCCACTTCCTGCTTTTTGCTTTTTGGTGGTTAATTGGAGATAAGTCTCATGGGCTTTCCTGGCTTCAAAGTGCTGGCCTCACCTCTCAGCCTTCTGAGTACCAGGCTTACAGGCTTGAGCCACCAGCACCCAGCTCTGTATTTATTGAGTGATTGATTTGAATGACTCTCTTGCAGGGCTGTCTGGAACCAAGGGCAAGTGTTCTGTCACTGTGAGTTGCATCCCAGGTCCCAGGGGCTTATCTTTTCATCCAGTCTTGTCAAAAACAAACAAAAAGACTCACTCTTGGCTTCCTACTGGGTGTGCTTCAGTTTCCCTCTACAGTTGAGCCCTACATACAGCCTGTTGTCTCTCCACCGCTCTGCTGACCATGCTGGAACCTGAGAGTCTCTGCCTCGTGTTTCTGCACCCCTTCCCCGGCCTTATTTTTCCTGAAACTTTGTCACACATGCATCTGGTTTGTTCGGCGCTGCGTCTTCCTGGAGAATGCTCGCAGGCCGGCTGCAAGCCCCATCGGAGGTCAGCACAAAGTGGGTTTTCCGTGTGACTCAATTGTGGAATGAACGCCGGGTACGAGAGAGCACCGCAGCGACCTCTGGTGGCCTCTGTCTTACATCGAACTTTTTCATTCTTTCCTCCAAATGTTGCACATATATTGCATATATGTATTGCACAGATACATATTGCATACATATTATATATTGCACATATAGGTATAACTGCAGGCCCTCGTGTAACCTGACCTGCCTGGATTCGTTTTACTGTCCAGTATAAATGAACGTGAACTAACTTTTGCTGCAGAAATATTGTCTTCTTAGAAGTCATAATAAAGATCTCCATTTATTGAGGACGAACAACGTGTCGGGTCTGGAGTCTATAGTGTGTCATGGCTTCATTCACTCAAGACACACCCACTCTCGCCCACAGGCCTTGGCATGCTGCTGCCCCTCTTGTAAGGCAACTCCCACAGTTGTGTCTTTCCTCGTGAAGGCAGAAGATGAACTAATTCTTGGGCTTCGGTGTCAGGAGGAAGCGGTCAAAGTACCTAAGTGTACCAGCTGTGCTGCCTCTCACTCCCACTAGTGGGGTGGCGATCCCTTTAAGGCTCCCGGAAGCGGGCCGGTCGGACCGGAAGTGACCTTCTTTATTTTCTTCCCTGGTCATGTGGTGCGGGCAGGAAGTGACGCGCGCGGCCCGGGAGCTGCGGACGCGGAGGCAGACCGAGAGCCGGAGTCACGGACGCCGTGGGGGTCTCCGGGACAGGTGACCGGGGGAGGTGGGCCGGGAGCGCGCCCAGAGAGGGCGGAGCCTGAGGCTTCACGTGAGAGAACCGGGAGCACGCGCGGGGGCGGGGTCAGCTTTCTCTGTGGGGGGCGGGGCCAGGACGCCCACGTGGGCAGCTGGAAGGGCGCTGGCGGGGCTGGACGTTGGCGCGTGGGCGGGGCCTCGAGCGGGGTGTCAGTTATGGGCGGGGCCTAAGGGTGTGCCCGGCGGGAGGGGCGGGGCCAGAGCTTCAGTGAAGTGCTTGGGGTGGAGGCCGGACGGTGGCCGCAAGTGCTAGAGGCGGGGCGAGAAAGTTGTCCCTGACCGGTTGTAGATTCTGCAGGTTGGCCTGGAAATCAGGGGCGGATCCGCGGGCCTGAGGTGAAGGCCAGGAGTGTAAGCACAGGGCATGTGTGTGGGAGGGATGGGGGGAGCGGGGTGTGAGTGGGGTGTGTGGAGGGAGAAGAGGGGCGGGGCCAGGATTCTCGCTGGGCTGCTGGGGGGGTGGAGCCTGTGGGCGGGGCTAGGCGCTGACTGGACCAGGCTGGTGTAAGGGGGCGTGACCGGGGAGGGGAATTGGCCGGACAAATGGGAGGCGGTCTGGGGGCGGGGCCAGAGCAATAACTCGCAGAGCTGAGGCGGGTTTGACTGTTGCCTTGGGAGCCAGGGTACAAGTTGGACGTGGTGGGGGTGGGGGGGCCCGACTGGGGAGTCTGTAGCCCGGTCAGTTTAATCACGCCAGCGTGTGGGCGTGGCCAGATGTATGGCGGGCTGGGCGTGGTTATGAAGTTTGGTGCTCGCCGGGGGCGGGGCCGCGGCCGCGTGGTTCCCAGCGGGGTGGAAGGTCGGTGCTGGAAGCCGGGTTGCTCCTCCGGAAGTTTGGTCCTGGATAGCCAGTGTAGGGTTCACTGGGAGGCCATGTTTGGTTCATATTCGATCTGCTTCTAGGTACTCGGTCCATGACATTGTCGCAAAAAAAGAACTTGAGGACGAAAGATGGTGGCCAAGAAAGTACTAGTAAAGCAGAGCCAGGAAAGGACAGTGCACAACTAGGCCTGGGCGATCCTCAGGGCCTGGGTGCTGTCCCTTAGCTTATTTTTCTTTTTTTTTTGTCGGTCGTGGGGCTTGAACTCTGGGCTTGGGTGCTGTCCCTCCGCTTTTCAGCTCAAGGGGAGCGCTCAAATCACCTGAGCCACAGCGCCACTTCCGGTTTTCTGGTGAATTATTGGAGATCAGAATCTCATGGACTTTCCTGCGCGGGCTGGCTTTGAACCGTGATCCTCAGATGTCAGCCTCCTGAGTAGCTAGGATGACAGGCCTGAGCCACCAGCCTACTTTTTGTTTTTGTGGTTTTTTTTTTGTTGTTGTTGAAGAGTAGTCCTGTACCACTTGAGCCAGAGCTTCTCTCCAGGCTTTTTGGTGATAATAGGCTTAGAGATTTCCCTTCTTGGGCTGGCTTACAACTGGGAACCTCAAATTTCAGCCTCCCAAGTAGTTAGGATTACAGGTGTGAGCCACTGTGCCTAGGTTGCTAGTGATTTTGGAGCTGTAGTCTCCCAAACTTTTCTACTCAGATTGGCCTCCAGCTGAGATCCCCTGATTCCTGGCTTCCAGAGAAGATAAGTAGCAGGTGGGAAACACTGTTGTCAGGCTGCCTGTGTGGGCTGAACCAAGCTGTTCATTAATATTTATCTCTGAATCCAGGGTCACATTTCCAAGGCCTCCTTTCCTGTGACCTGCTCTGCCTTACTTCTAGAAGCTGATGTGCAGCTTGGGAGGAGGAGGAAGGGGTGTAGCTCTCTCTCTCTTTTTTTTTTTGGTCAGTCGTGGGGCTTGAACTCTGGGCCTGGGCGCTGTCCCTGCACTCTTCAGCTCAAGGCAAGTGCTCTACCACTTGAGCTACAGCGCTACTTCTGGTTTTCTGGTGGTTTATTAGAGATAGGAGTCTCACGGTCTTTCCTGTTCGGGCTGGCTTTGAACTGCAATCCTCCGATCTCAGCCTCCTGAGTAGCTAGGATTACAGGCATGAGCTACCTGCTCCTGGCTAAGGGGTGTAACTCTCTTGAGATCTGGTTCTGTGCTAAATGTGCCCTTACAGGCTGGGCAGGCATAGCTAGAAGCATGGTGAGAGTTTAAAATTGGGTGGAACAAAAGGCAAAGGGGTGGAGTCACCGTTGCCCAGGAAAGGGAATAGGAGTGAGGGCTAGAATTGTCTTGGGTTATAGGTGTTTTTGTGCCTGTGGGTGTGAGGAGCTCTAGTTAAGGAAAGACTGGAGCTGATTTGGGGTACTGCTGGCTTTAGTCTGCTGATCCTCTATCCTCAGGAGCCCTCAGTGGTGATCCAGATTCTGTGAAGCAGCTTACTGGGACCCTGGCTCAGCCAGCCAAATGGTGAGCTGGGAAGTGGGCAGGCCATATTGAGCATGGGAGGGAGATGTGGGAGGGTAGGAGCTTGGATTGAGGAGCCTTGGCCACTTAGGACTCTCCTTCCATCCCTCAACCACCTGCTGGTCTCAGGCAGCCACGCTGGATTTGAAATCCAAGGAGGAGAAGGATTCAGAGTTGGACAAGAGGATCGAGGCTCTTCGGCGGAAGAATGAGGCCCTCATCCGGCGCTACCAGGTGCCCTAGCCCCATCCTGGGAGACCCCACCCCCTCTCCTCCCCGCAGTGAGTTTTTCTCACCTCTCCCTTCCTTACAAGCTTCTCATGGCTCACTGTCACTGTTGGGATGAGTGCCATAGGCCTGGCCTGGCATCCTTCCTTCATCCCATCTCTCATTCATTCATCACAACTGCTCACTGGCTCCCTGGCTGAGAGGGTGCCTAGGATCAGCTGTGACTGACAGGCCTCAGGCTTTCCTTCCAGGGCTCCACGGGCAGGGAGACAATCCTGCCCTCAGTTGGTGTCAATCTCCAGGGTACCCCGTGGGCATGGCTGGGATGAGGGATTTCAGGGGAGGGCAGAGGGCACTGTCCGCTCTAGCCTAGGGGTACTTTAGGGAGAGCTTCCTGGAAGAGGAGGCCCAGAGGCCTGATGCGTGAGTAGATAGCAGACAGTCGCAAAGGAGAGGGGAACAGTTCAGATAAAGAAAATAGTGTAGACACAGGTTTGGATTGGAGAGCAGGCTGGAGTTTCAAGTTGAGGCCCTCAGTTTGGGAAACTGATGTAGAAATTTAGTGGGGGGAGGGAAGGGCAAGTAGGCCCTGGGTTCCAAGGGTGCTAGGGTGTCATGGAGAGCTTTGGCAGAAGCGAACCCAACTCAATAGCTTTTGGGGGACTGTCCTCTGTTGCTGTGTGGTGGATGGGAGGAGGTGACCACTGGAGACAAGAAAGCAAGGAAGAAGTGCCAGGCTCAGCTGGGCTGTGGAGGGAGGGAGGGAGGGAGGGAGGGAGGAGGGTAGGCCCAAGAGTTGGTGTATGTTGGGGTGGGCCCTGGGAAGAGGTGTGGGCTTCATTGACTCATTCGTCATGTGTTCATTCATTGAAACCTCTGAAGTATATCGCATGCCGGGTGGCAATGTAGTCTTGGGGATGCATCTGGAAGCGAGCGTACTGATGGGTGCAGAGCTGGGCAGCAAGGGACACCCTCTCCCTGAGAGGGGACATTTGAGTTGAGATCTGAGTGTGGTGGCATGGGGTGAAAGAACAGAGCAAGCCTTGCGCCAGTGGCTCAAGCCTGTAATCCTAGCTACTCAGGAGTCTGAGATCTGAGGATCGTGGTTCAAAGCCAGAAAACCGGAAGTGGTGCTATAGCTCAAGTAGTAGAGCTCTTGCCTTAAGCTGAAGAGCTGAGGGACAGCGCACAGGCCCAGAGTTCAAGCCCTATAACTGACAAACAAACAAACAGATTGAACACCTGGTGCAAAAGTCCTGAGGCAGGTTTGAGCCTGGTTTGTTCACAGTGAGAAGGCCAGGATAAGATGAAGTGAAGGCTGGGGCTGGGAAGGTGGCTCAGTGGTAGAGTGCTTGCCTTGCATGCCTGAGGCCCTGGGTTCGATTCCTCAGCACCACATAAGCAGAAAAAGCCGGAAGTGGCACTGTGGCTCAAGTGGTAGAGTGCTAGCCTTGAGCTGAAGAGCCAAGGGACAGCACCCAGGCCCAGAGTTCAGGCCCCCACAACCGGCAAAAAAAAAAAAAAAAAAACTAAAAAAGATGAAGTGAAGGCTGTGGGCTGTTGGGGGGAGGGGAGAGGAGGTTGCCAGACTGGTTGGTGGGGCATATGCTGGGCTCAGCTCTGAGAAAGGCTGGGGCCACACTCAGGAACTCTCAGGAGCTGCAGGAGTGCAGCTGGTGGATGGAGCCCTGACTCCCAGTGCTACTTGCAGGAGATCGAGGAGGACCGGAAGAAGGCTGAACTGGAGGGGGTAGCCGTCACAGCACCCCGGAAGGGCCGCTCACTAGAGAAGGAGGATGCGGTGGTGGATGTGGTGAGCCATCCAAGGATTGGGAGGGTCTAAGCTGCCCAGACTTGAGGGGGCCTGACTGCCCCCTCCCCCCCGCCCTATCCTTTTCTCCCTGCCCTGTCACAGTGCTTCTCCCTCCTCCTCTTCCAGGAGAAGAGCCTGGGCCCCCCTCGGAGGTCTCCTGGAGCCCCTCGGCCCTCAGGGGCCAGCAGGGGAGGTCGGCCTCCCCCACGGCAGGGAGGTCGGGCAAGCCTGGGCCGGGGATCCCATGGCTGGGAAGACAGTTCTGGGGAGCAGCCTCGAAGGGCTGGAGGCCGAGGCCAGAGGGGCCGGGGTCGGGGCTCCCCTCATCTCTCAGGAGCAGGAGACGCTTCAACCTCTGACCGCAGATCGAAGGTAGGAGGTGGGAAGGTGGAAGCTGCCATTTTTTGCATCTCAGTACTCCACACTGAGCACTCGTTCCTTCCCCTCCTGGCTGGTGCAGTGTTCCCAGCGGGAGATGGAGAGTTCTAGAGAGTCCAGGCTGCATGGGAGGAATGTTTCTAAAAAAAGCCCAAATAAAATAAGTGGAGCCAGGCACCAGTGGCTCACGCCTGTCATCCTAGCTACTCAGGAGGCTGAGATCTGAGGATCTCAGTTCAAAGCCAGCCCAGGCAGGAAAGGCCTTGAGACTCTTATCCCCAGTGAACCACCAGAAAACCAGGAGTGGCGCTGTGGCTCAAGTGGTAGAGCGCTCGCCTTGAGCTGAAGAACTGAGGGACAGCGCCCAGGCCCAGAGCTCAAGCCCCACGACCAAAAAGACAAAACAAAAAAAGGAGTACCTAGAAAGGCTGAACTTCATGGAGGGGCAGTGGTGGGTGGAGGGATGGATGATGTCACCCTGGGGCACCTGTGGTAGGCCCTTCGCCCTGGCGGATATGGTCCAGGTGAATGTGGGCTCTTGGTGTCCACCTATGGAGGTGAGGACTGAGGTCACACCCGCAGCTCCTGGCCGCCTGCTGGGAAGGGCCCAGCTCTTCTGGGAAGAGGAGGGTGGGTTCCGGGCAGCTCCTTCCTCCCAGGTGACTGTGGCACTGATCCCTGCAACTTCAGCTGTTTGCCAGACTGTCAGATTGACCTCGTTGTGAAGGGACAAGGTGACAGGGATGGGCGATGTCCGGAGGAGACCCAGTGCACTGGGCTGGGTCCCCTCCCCCTGCGTAAGTGGTCCTTCCTGATGCCTGGCACCCTCTCTGTCCCCCAGGAGTGGGAAAAGCGACGCCGACAGAACATTGAGAAGATGAACGAGGAGATGGAGAAGATCGCCGAGTATGAGCGGAACCAGCGGGTCAGCGCTGTGGGCCAGGGTGGGCAGAGCGCTGGGCCCCTGGGCCTGGGCCCCCTTGCCAACCCTGCCACTGTGTCACAGGAAGGGGTGCTGGAACCAAACCCGGTGCGGAATTTTCTGGACGACCCCCGACGTCGCAGTGGACCCCCGGAGGAGCCTGAGCGGGACCGTCGGGAGGGCAGCCGCCGGCACGGGCGCAACTGGGGGGGCACCGACTTTGAGCGGGTGCGCTGCGGCCTGGAACAGGAGCGGCAGGTGGGTGCCAGCAGCGGGGGCCCTGCAGTGCTCACCCGGGCATCCAGGTCATTAGGTTTCTGGGCAGAGCAGGGCTGGCTCTGAGCTGGGATTGTGTCCTAGGAGGGCAGGGGTAGGTGAAGGCTGGACTAGGGAATGGGAAGGTGTGGGGGGGTGCTCCCCCCCTCCCCATTTCTGCATTCATATAGTCTGGCCTGGTTTGAGAGTGTCTTCTTACTGATGTGACGTTCCTGTTATTTACCAGGCACCAAGGAGTGTCAGGCACCATTTTATTTTATTTATGATTTATTTATTTTTTGTTGGTCATGGGGCTTGAACTCTGGGCCTGGGCTCTTCAGCTCAAAAGCTCTACCACTTGAGACACAGCTCCACTTCTGGTTTTCTGGTGGTTCATTGGAGATAAGAGTCTCACGGACTTTCTTGCCTAGGCTGGTTTTGAACCGCTGATCCTCAGACCTCAGCCTCCTGAGTAGCTAGGATGACAGGGGTGAGCCCATGGCACCTGACTGTCATTTTTTTTTTTGGGTCCGGTTGTGGGGCCTGAACTCTGAGCCTGGGCGCTGTCCCTTGAGCTCTTCAGCTCAAGGCTAGCACTCTACCACTTGAGCCGCAGCGCCACTTCTGGCTTTTTTCTTTTTTGCTTATGTGGTGCTGAGGAATCGAACCCAGGGCCTCAGGCATGCAAGGCAAGCGCTCTACCACTGAGCCACCTTCCCAACCCTGACTGTCATTTTAATTTGGGCATATAGACCTTTTCCCTGTACCGAGCCCCCGGCCCCAGGCACTATTTTGGTGGCTGAGCATCAGTTTAAGGCAAAGCTCCTCCCTGCTGGAACTGGCCTATGGGTGAAAATCTAGGGGGTGGGCACAGCTGGGTGAGGGCAGGGCACTGCCCAGCACAGATGAGGGGCCTCTAGGAGGCCACCTGCTGGTGCCACCACTTGTGACTTTGCCCTGTGTGTATCTGGCATCCACTTGGGTGTCTGGGGGGCCAGGGCGGGCAGTGGGGACAGGCAATGACTGTGTGTGACCGGGAGCAGGGCCGCCGGGCTGGCCTGGGCGGGGCTGGCGACATGACACTGTCCATGACTGGCCGAGAGCGCTCAGAGTACCTGCGCTGGAAGCAGGAGCGGGAGAAGATAGACCAGGAGCGGCTGCAGCGACACCGCAAGCCCACGGGCCAGTGGCGGCGCGAGTGGGACGCAGAGAAGACAGACCGCATGTGAGTCTTCGCTGTCTCTTCAGCCTGGGGTGTATGATGGATGGCTCCTGGAGGCTTTCCTGCAGGGTCATGGTGCCTATGGCTGAGATGTTGAGTGCAAGGTCCCCGGATGCAGCTTCCCAGGCTGGTGGAGCTCAGGCATCCAGTCTATGTCTACAGCACAGGCTGCAGGCATGAGAACTTCCAAGGCCCCAGAGATGGAGAGGGCAAAGCCTCAGGTTACAGCCTTATTTTTTTGTTAGCTGTGGGGCTTGAACTCTGGGCCTGGGCGCTGTAACAGCTCAGCTCTTCAGCGAAGGCAAGTGCGCTACCACTTGAGCCACAACACCACTTCCAGTTTTCTGAGTGGTTTATTGAAGATAAGAATCTCATAGCCTTTCCTGCCTGGGCTGGCTTTGATTTGAACCGCGATCTTCAGATCTCAGCCACCCGAGAAGCTAGGATTAGAGGTGTGAGCCATCGGCACCTGGAGTAGGTCCTTATTGATATCCCTTCATAGGCTTTTCTGGAACCTTCTGGGTGAACACATTCCATGTGGGTTCATTAAAGGGTTGAGGCCAAGGATAGTGGTCACTCGGGGAGACACCTATCCTGACATTGGCTGTCCTGGTAGCCAGTGGGGGGTGACCTTGGCCACACGTGGATGTCTTGGTGGTGGGGCATTGCCCATAGTGGCAATGGCCTCACCGCTGCCCATGGCCTGGCCCCTTCATTCTGGAGCCCCACACAGCTCCCAGCTTCACCTGGCCTCCTTCCAGTGTCCTGTCCTTAAGTCTGTCTCAGGAAGCATCCCACCAGACTTGCAGCAAGGCTGTCAAGAGTGTCAGCCTGGGGGCTGGGAAGGTGGCTCAGTGGTAGAGTGCTTGCCTTGCATGCCTGAGGCCCTGGGTTTGATTCCTCAGCACCACATAAGCAAAAAGAATAAAAGCTGGAAGTGGTGCTGTGGTTCAAGTGGTAGAGCGCTAGCCTTGAGCTGAAGAGCTGAGGGACAGTGCCCAGGCCCAGAGTTCAGGCCCCACGACCAGACCCCCCCCAAAAAAAGTGTAAGCCTGGCAGAAGCTTCTGGAAGAGCTGACTACGTTTCAGCCCACCCTGTCTGCACTGCTGGGGCTTGTCATGTACTGTAATCCTTTTCCATGGGCTCTTGCTAAAGGAGAAGAAATTCTATTTCTTTGTCTGGCTTGGGGAGCCCTTTTTGGGGGTTTGTGAGCTAGTTTGTTGGACAGAAACTGTAGCTGACCTTTTGATGAAATGTTCTCTGGGTTAAGGATGAAGAAAGAACCTGGGCGCCAGTGGCTCATGTCTGTAATTCTAGCTACTCAAGAGGCTGAGATCTGAGGACTGCAGTTCAAAGCCAGCCTGGGCAGAAAAGTCTATAAGACTCTCATCTTCAATTAACTACCCCCACAACTGACCAAAATTTTTATTTTTTAATTAAAAAAATAGGGGCTGGGAAGGTGGCCCACTGGTAGAGTGCTTGCCTAGCACACATGAAGTCCTGGGTTCGATTCCTCAGTACCACATGCACAGAAAAAGCTGGAAGTGGCGCTGTGGTTCAAGTGGTAGAGTGCTAGCCTTGAGCAAAAGAAGCTTAGGGACAGTGCCAGGCCCTGAGTTCAAGCCCAGGACTGGCAAATTAATTAGTTAAAGATTAAATATGAGGGAAGAAGCTGGTAGTGGTGGCTCATGCCTGTAATCCTAGCTCCTCAGGAGGCTGAGATCAGAGGATTGTGGTTCAAAGCCAGCCTGGGCAGGAAAGTCTGTGAGACATTTCCAATTAACCACCAAAAAGCCAGAGGTGGCGCTGTGCCTTAAGTGGTAGAGCACCTGAGCAAAAAAGCTGAGAGAGGGCAGGAGGCCCTGGAAAGAACTGTTTGTGTTTTCCTGTGTATGCCTTGATTTCATTAGTACTATTGTGAGGCTGTCTTCTGTGGGTTCTAGGGATGGGTATACAGCTGTGGCTTCATGAACTTGGAGTGCACTGGCAAAGTGAAACCACCTAGGATAGGCTGTAAGAACATGAGGCAGAGGAAGGACATGGAGTTAGGCGATAGGAGAGAGTCTCTGAGCTCAGGCCTCAAGCAGGTAAAGGAGACATGGGAAGAATATTCTGGGAGCAGCAGATGCAAAGGCCCTGAGGCAGAGAAAGTGTGGTGGGAAAACCTACTTAGGTGGTAAAGTGAGCGTGACAGGAGCTGGGGAGCATCCTGTCCTTTGCCATGATCTCTGGTAAAGAAGTTTGGGGTGCAAGTTCTGAATTTTTGACATTAGGTTTGCCTCTCCTCTGTAGGTCCATCCTGTCCCCCGTTCCATCAGTGAGCCCTTCTAACCCTGGCCTGTTGCCTAGTTTCCCAACCACCTGCTGACCCTCATCTTCCTCTTTTCCCAGGTTCAAGGACGGCCCGCCCCCTATGCACTCCCATGAAGCTACCCACCGTCACGGTGAGTGCCGAGTGCGCATGGCTGGCCCCAGAGAGCCACTGTGCTGCTAGGGTGGTGGGCACACGCTTTGGCCACGCCCTTCTCTCCTAACCTCTTCTGGCTTCTGTCCTAGATGATCAGGCCTGGGCCCGGCCCCCAAAGCCCCCCACATTTGGGGAGTTTCTTTCACAGCATAAAGCTGAGGTCAGCAATCGCAGGAGAAGAAAGAACAGCCGACCCCCGGCCAAGGCAGCACCCCGTGCCTACAGGTGGGGCCACCCTTCCCGAGCATGGTCCACTGCCTGCTCCCCGTCCCTTAGTGGGAGAGGTAGGAGGCCCCCACCTGGTCCTCAGCTACTTTCTGTCCCTTCCAGTGACCACGACGACCGCTGGGAGATGAAAGAGGCAGCAGGGTCCCCTGCCCCGCAGGAGCCCCCTGTGCAGGTAAGGGGGGGCAGGTGTATATGGGGGTGTCCGGGGCCCACAGCAGGTCCCTGATGCACCTGTGTTCCCACAGCCTCCAGAGACCCAGGCCCCTGTCCACCGGCCGCCTGAGGATGAGGGCGAGGAGGACGAGGGCCAGGAGGAGGAGGAGGACCTCGGGGTTGAGGAGGATGAAGAATGGGAGGATGTGAGTGAGGACGTGACTGAGGATGAAGAGGAGGAGGAGGAGGAAACTGAGGAAGAAGAGGGTACTGAGGAACCGGAGCAAGCCCAAGCCCAAGACCACTCGATCCTGGAGGCTGAGCCCACAGGGGACCCCACCCCAGACCAGGCCAACCCAGCACCTTCCAGGCCCCACCAGCCCCTGAAGCCCCAGGAACTGGAGGAGCCCCACGAGCCAGGGGAGCCTGAGGAGCTCTCCCCAGCCCCAGCCACGCCTTCCAGCCCCTTCTCGACACTCACCAGCCACCAGCCCGTGCCTGACTGGGGTGAGGAGATGGAGCTGAAGTCTCCCCGGGGGGCCCACCTGCCCGACACCCTCTCTCCTGGTGAGGCCTGGCCTTCTGGGAATGCATGAAGCTGGCTGCTGTGTGTGCATGAGGGGTGTGGCAGGCCCCAGCACCCCATGTGCCCCGTTGCCCTGGTGGCCCTGGGGCTGGCGGCTTCCAGAGCCTGCCCTGCTTGTTCAGAGCTGCTACCTCCCCAATAAAGAGTTCACATCTCCAAGTGACCTTCCCCCAGTGTGTCCTTCAACTCCAGCAGCTCCCCAGCCCCCCCCCTCTGGTGTGGTGCTGTTTGGAGGGGAGGGGGCTTGACTGGGCCTCCCCTTCCCCAGGAGGCGACCCTCCAGCACCTGCCTCCCTGGAGAGTGGGCCCAGCCTCCCAGGAGCCCTGAAAACTGAAGAGGAGGGGTCTGAGGCGACTCCAGGTGGGGGACACTTGGTGTGGTGGGGGTAAAGGGGGGGTGGGGAGTACTGTGGGACCAGAGGTGGGGGCGGCTGGAGTAGGTACCAGGACTAGGTGGGAATTCCATGGCTGGCATCTACAGAAGGCAGAGGATGGTGTGAGGAGGCTTTTGGAAAGTCAGAAGGGGTGCTCCTGGGGCTAGGCCCTCCGGGAGGATGGGGGCAGAGTAGCTGGTTTAGGATGAGCAGAATTGGTTTTAGGTGCAGCCCAGTGGGCAAGACCCAAAATGCAGAGTTGGGATTGTGGTCCCCTGAGTGTGGGAGCAAGAGGCTCAAGCGGCGATCCTCTGCTGATGGTCTGGGAGGAGGGGGCGCGAGGGCCCTGCGAGGCTGGCTTGGTAGGGGCTAGTTAGGACTGTGAAGTGGATCCCAGGGCAGTTTGGGGTGCTGGGCCCTGCTGGAGCCCACTGGGTGCCTGACGGTGACCTCCCTTCACCCCAGTTGTAGTCGGGGTTATATTGCTTCGTGGGGGGGCGGTTGGTAGGCTGTCCTCACTGCTGAGCGCCCCCTCTCTCCCCCAGAGGCGGGGCCCGAGAGCCAGGAGACCACGGAGATCACGGACTTCCGCAGGGTGCGTTTCTGCAAGGTGGTGGCTGCCGCTTCGCCCCCGGGGGCCGCCCGCTGATCGGGCCTGCCTGGCCACCCGCCTGCCCGCAGGACCACTAGGCCCCGCACTAACCGCACCCGCTGCCCGCTCCTCTGCTTCTGCCGCTGCCGCCTGGACAGGGTTAAGTGTGAGGGGGCGGCGCCAGGGCCTTGCCGAGTGAGCGGAGTGAGCGCTGGGGCCCTGTGCGGCCCCCACGGCCGCTGACCAGACAGGCCAGACGTGGAAGGACCCGAACTGCCCGCCGCGAGCTCTCCAGCCGTGCCGTGGCGGGCAGGCAGTGGCTGTGCTCGCGGGCTTTTCCGTGGTGGAAGAGGTGGGGTGAAGGGGCCTTCCCGCACCCCCTGACTCTGCTCCCCTCCCCCTCCCGCAGGCCACCCCGAATTCCTGAAGACGCTGCTGGGCGGGGACGGAAGCTTCGGGGCCTGGTGCGGAGGGGGCGGGCCGAGGGGGTGACTGGCTCTGCAGGCTGTGCTCTTTCCAGGAACCCACTGAGACCCCAGGGCCCTGGGGAGCGGGAGAGAGAGCGAGGGTGGGTGCTGGAGGTGCAGGGGGCAGGGGCCTGGCTGGGGCGAGGGGTGCAGCTGGAACCCCGCAGGCCCAGGGTAGACTGAACACTCTGGGGTGGCAGGAGGTGAGGAACCCAGGGCGCCCGCTGCTGGGGGCGGGGCTACGGAAGCGGGCAGGACCTAAGATCAAGGGGGCGGGGCTAGAAGGATGGGCGGGGCTTCGGGTAGCAGGTTTAGATGGGGTTCCCAGCTCTAGGATGGGGCTGGGTCCCAGGGCTGGAGGACAGCTCAGTGCTGGAGAGGACAGTGCCTGTCGGATCGTGAAGGGTATCTCAGTCGGGAATGAGCACATGGCCAGGCTCGGATGGAAACCCAAAGGCATGGACGAGGAGGCGGGACAAAGCCCCGGGGCTTCAGAAAGGGGCGGGATTAAGCTTTGGGGCGTGGCCTGTACGAGGAGGTGGGGGGGGGGTCAGGGCTTTCATTTGGTGATTGGCTGGAGGTGGGAAGGGCGTGTCCACGGATAGGGAAGCCCGCCCTCTGGGCGTGGCCACGCAGGCCGGGGGGCGGGCCTCGGGCGTGGGCGGGGTCTTGCG